AGTTTTGCCAGCTCTTCTTAATCTCTTCTGCCTCTGTTAGGTCCCTGCCATTTTGGTCGTTTATCATGCCCATCTTTGCATGAAACGTTCCCTTCATATCTCCAATTTTCTTGAAGAAATCTCTGGTCCTCCCTATTTTGTTGTTTTCTTCTATTTCTTTGCACTGTTCATTTAAGAAGGCATTCTTATCTCTTCTAGCTATTCTCTGGAATTCTGCATTCAATTGGGTGTATCTTTCTCTTTCTCCTTTGCCTTTCGCTTCCCTTCTTTCCTCAGCTATTTGCAAAGCTTCCTCAGACAGCCATTTTGCTTTCTTGCATTTCTTTTTCTTTGGGATGGTTTTAGTTGCTACCTCTTGTACAATATTGCGAACTTCCATCCATAGTTCTTCAGGCACTCTGTCTATCAGATCTAATTCCTTAAATCTATTTGTCACCTCTACTGTATATTCATCAGGAATATGATTTAGTTCATACCTGAGTGGCCTAGTGCTTTTCCCTACTTTTTTCAATTTAAGCCTAAATTTTGCAACGAGAAGCTCATGATCTGAGCCACAGTCAGCTCCTGGTCTTGTTTTTACTGACTGTATAGAGCTTCTCCATCTTTGGCTGCAGAGCACATAGTCAATCTGATTTCTATGTTGACCGTCTGGTGATGTCCATGTGTAGAGCCGTCTCTTGGGTTGTTGGAAAAGAGTGTTTGTTATGACCATCGTATTCTCTTGACAAAATTCTATCAGCCTGTGCCCTGCTTCATTTTGTACTCCAAGGCCAAACTTGCCTGTTATTCCGGTTATCTTTTGGCTTCCTACTTTAGCATTCCAATCCCCCATGATGATAAGGACATCATTTTTTGGTGTTAATTCTATAAGGTGCTGTAGGGCTTCATAGAACCGGTCAATTTCATCCTCTTCAGCACCAGTGGTTGGGGCATAGATTTGGACTATTGTGATATTGCCTTGGATTTGAATTGAGATCATTCTGTCATTCTGGGGATTGTATCCCAGTATTGCTTTTCCTATTCTTTTATTGACTATGAAGGCTACTCCATTTCTTCTGAGGGATTTTTGCCCACAGTAGTATACCTGATGGTCATCTGAGTTAAATTCACCCATTCCTGTCCATTTTAGTTCGCTGATTCCTAAGATGTCGATGTTCAGTCTTGTCATCTCTTTTTTGACTACGTCTAGCTTGCCTTGATTCATGGATCTTACATTCCAGGTTCCTATGGAGAAAAAATCTTTACAGCATCGGACTTTCCTTTCACCACCAGATATATCCACAGCTGAGTGTCCTTTCGGCTTTGGCCCAGTCGCTTCATTCTTTCTGGCGCTACTAGTACTAGCCCTCTGCTCTTCCCCAGTAGCATATTGGACACCTTCCGACCTGAGGGGCTCATCTTCCAGCGTCATATCTTTTTGCCTTTTAGTACTGTCCATGGGGTTTTCATGGCAAAGATACTGGAGTGGTTTGCCATTTCCTTCTCCAGTGGATCACATTTTGTCAGAACTCTCTGCTATGACCTGTCCGTCTTGGGTGGCCCTGCACGGCATAGCTTATAGCTTCACTGAGTTACACAAGCCCCTTTGCCACGACAAGGCAGTAATCCATAAAGGGGTAAATATAAATACTGTATTACAACACAGTGTGCTGAAACTCTGCCAAATGCGTAGAAATGCAGGGATATTTTTATTATGGCGTGTTCTATTTATTTGTTTTAGGAGTTGATGTTTCTAGTCATATAGTCTATTTCTTTTTGGTTTACTGCCAGAAGGTTCTGTAGGTAGCATTCCAGAGCCTTGGCAGCTCTGCTTCCTGAGAAGCAACTGCAGAAAGATAGGCAGGGGATCATTTAATTTTCCTTTCATCTTTATGCTAAAGAGCATCTATATATGTAAATGCAATTTCTGTGATGCAAAAAAAAGGCGTGCCTTTCTTGGTGTGATCTTGAGTCCTTGGGAATTAGCTACTTAAATACTTGTTTCTGTTAATATGATTACTGTCTTACATGAAGGAACTTTGGATGTCATAAAATCAATTTCATATAATCAGTGCAGTACATATACATATTTTGTTCTTCCCTCCCCCATCCTTTATCCTGTTTGTTTTCCTGTTGAGTAATACATGCTAGGTGCAGAATGCAGATGATGATGATGATGCTTCAGTTGGGGTGAGCCAATTAACTTATTCCAATATACCAGATTGTCTCAGTCTGACAGGAAACATAAGCCCCTTAACATCCTGTTTTTTCATTATTCCTTTTAATGCTGGTTTAGTAAGCTATTGTTGAGTGAGAATTTACAATGGAGGTGAGTTTAAATCCATTTTTCCTCTTGCTATTTTAGAAAAATTCTCTTGCTTTAAATATATTTAAAATTTTCATTTTAAATGTCTTTCAGGATTTAGGACACCACTTTTTTTGCCTTTGTCTTGCATCATGTTGTTTAACAGTTCCCAAAACATAGAAACTAGATTTTTAATTTTTTTAAAGAAAATAACTGAAGTTTTCTCTTTTTAATAAACTTTAGGAAGAAATTTGCAGAATATTTTTTTGTTGAGTATGTTTACTTAATAGAATCAAAACTTGTCACACTTGAGCCACTATTGTGCATCTCTGATGTTAAATTTGTTATTACTAAAGTTTGTTTTTGATGTTATACCTCTTCTTAGCAAAACTGATGTTATATCTCTTATAGCAAAACTGGAGTATGTTTACCAGATGTGGAAGAGATGCAGGATGTAAATTACACAGTTTATATATTTTGCTTTACAGCAAAGTATACATGAAAAGGTGTAATGGAGTAATAGTAATGTCCATACTATATACCCTTTATATGGAAAGTTTATAACTTTTACAAAAGATTTTGCTGTAAAATGTTCTGAAAAGCTAGCAGCATTTAAATTATGAAATAGAAAAGGCTATGCATGTAAAAATGAATGGATTTGGTTGCACACATGGATTGGGGCTATACGCCCATAGAAAGGTAGATTTTATAATGACTATTATTTTATGCATATTGGTACAGTATAATAAGCTTTCTATTTTTAACTCATAAAAATTTTAATTTAGTGGATTTAGGTTGCATGAAACTAAGAGTTTTTGTATGTGTGTCTATTGGCAAGTTATCATTAAAATTACTTAATAGGAATAAAGAAATAGAAATTTTCATTTTTCTGATATTTATAATACGTGTTGAATGTATTTTCAAAAACCAAAAAAGCTTACTGTATTGCTAATACTTCCTAATAATGTTTATAACTTAATTTTGATTTTTTTAAACTGAAATAAATATTATTAAATGCTATTTAAATTGTTTCTATTATGCAAGTATTTCAAAATATGCCACTAATTCTGTTAAAAGTTCATTTACTTAGGCCCATCTATACTTTTTATTTCATTTGCATTTTTATATTTTCTTTAAAAAAATAGTACTATGAGTTCAAAAGAATGTTTCCTGTCTTCTACATAATCAATGAGCATTCAAGTTATAAAACTAATCTTACTTGGTTTTTATAATAGTTTGTGCATTACACTTTCACTTTTTCTTGGGTGAAAAAAGTGGAATTACTCTTTATTCAGCTCTCTGTCTGTATTGTTTTAATTCTATTTATAGAAATAGGGTATAAGACCTACTTCGAATTGACAAATATTGGTGAAGTGTATAAGCTTCCTGATAAATAAATGTCTTTTTTAAAAAAGTGGTAACAAGCCTTCGTTTTCCTCCACAAATACATGCTAACTCATACATGTAAGAGAAATATCATAAATGTGTTCTTTGCTATGTGCTTGTTGTATTGTTATACTGTTATACATGAAAGTATGAGTCACTTCATGTTTCATATGATTATTTTTTAAAATCTGAGGTAAAATGCAAAGGGGGAATAATATGAATTAAACATACAGTTTTTGCAGTTCTACTGTACTTAACTGTAAACTGGCAATGTTTAGTATTCAGTCCAAACATCAAATTCTGCTCATTATATTTAATCCTGTTTGTAGTTTTGCATGTGAAATTATGTTTTTCTTATCCTTTCTTCAAGGATTTAGATAGGATATACTATCTGTTGGATAAGCTTCCAAGGTGTATACAGTTTGAATAATAGATCAGTGGATTCAGATGTCATTCTAAACCATGGTTAAGCACCATCTGTTGAATAGGACACAGTTGGCTCCATTCACACATGACATACAGATGATAATTGCCAAAATGACATACATTTGTATTAATGGACCTTCCTAAATAATGGACATCCCCTCTCTACAATATCTGTTAAAATGAGATTTCACTGTACTACAAAGGATGGGATTGGATAACAGATGAAATGAAACTAGAACAAGCCACATTATGTATGGCTTTGAGTAGTGACAACCTGTGATTTAGGACTACCTGCAAGCTCTTCTAGCTGTTGCTCTTAAAAATTGATGGCAGTTTCCGGCCATTTGATGATGGAAAAAAGATGTGGTACAAGCCTAAAAGAATCAATTTATTAGTGTTTTCTTTGTTTAAACAAAGAAAACTTCAAATATTGGGGGAAATCAAGCATTTCATACATGAATGTATATGATTGGGGTGTCTTCACCTGCTTTTTCAGTATTTTAATGCAGCTGGGAAAAGTTAACTTTATTGGTTTAAATATGATCTGAATCACTCAACTGTCTGTTCTGGGTTTTGAGCCCAGGTCTGTCCAGTATAAGGTTAATATTCTTGATAGCTACAGCTCTGCGAAGTCTCACATAATTCATTGCTTGTATACATTACACAACATGAATCTGGGATTTACATTGTGTTTGAATCTAGTCGTGCTGGATTATAAATCATGTTTTATTGCTTTTGAGTATCAATCAGGCCTGTGTAGCTCCAAAATTAGTTAAAACAAACAATGGCTTTTATATAAAAATAAACTATAAATATTGAGAGTCTCTACTATATATTATCAGGCTTTTAAAAAAAGTGTTGATTTTCTTTCTAGATTCTAATAAGATCATGGTTTTTTTTTTAGACCTTTGATGCAAATGATCTCTACCAAGGACAGAACTTCAGTAAAGTGCTTAGTTCCTTGGTGGCACTAAATAAAGTAACAGCAGGTAAATATAAATCCATTTAATATGTATTTTTAAAATAGTTTTCTAGAAGTTGATGGTTTTCTGTTACTTAACATCCTTTCTCTGTTAATTTGTATGATTGAAATTTGAATAATTTCAGCTACATATCTCAGAATTTTACTCAACATCATTTGCTTTTCTACTTTTGGGATTGCTTTTGTCCTACTTCTTGTCTGACTGCAGTAACTATGAGCTGCAAAATGTAAAGTCAGTTTTCCTTTGAGGCCAAATCAAGTCCTGTGATTTCATGGACACTTCTATATATTTTTTCTGGCAAGAATGCAAAAGTGATTTCTTTGATTCCTAGTCAAAACTGTAGTCCTGGAATTTCCATTCAAAACACTAATTCAGTTTGATGCCAATTAACTTTTTGAAATCAACCAAAGTTATTTAGATACTGCTGCATGCAGAATATCATTTTTTAAATAAAACAAATGCACTGATGCTGTGTTCAGTTGACTAATGGTAGCAACAAAGTTAATAGCTGTATAGCATTTCAAATTCAAAGGTACAGGGTGCTTCAAAGTACATGGCAGCATGAACATAACATCTGTTTGCAATTCTTTAAAGTAGCCATGCCTTTTCTTGGAATCACCTAGCTATACTCTGCAACTGCCATGCAATCCAGGGAAGGACACCCTTGATTTCAGAGGCTGCAGAGAGGCGCTTGATTTGTGACTCCTCTGTTTTGAAGCATCCATTTGCTTTCAGTGGAGTGCCTCTCAGCCCTAGCAGAAAGTAGCTTCAACATTGAGCTTTTACTGCCTTCTCCTAGTTCATGTAGCAGAGCTGTAGATAACTTTCTAAACGTTGGTCACCAAAGGGAAGGCAGAATAAGTTTCAAATGGATTCAGAAACTACATGATATATTTAAACACTGCTTTGTATATACAAATCCCATTGGTATCAGTAGCATGTGCTTTTCTGTACAATGAATTGAGGCTGAACATTCAGCTGACTTAAATGAGGGAAGAATAGTCTGTACATTTAGATCAGCTTTTTCCAACGTAGTACCTAATGTGTTAAATGACTCAACATTTCTTAGTTGTCTTAAGTTTTGACTGAATGATGGGATTTATAGTGTGATTGATTCAGAGACTGCTGGATTGGGGTATTCTGATTTAGACTAATAAAAATGTATAATGAATTGTGAAATTTACTCTTCTCCAGTACAGGAGATGGGTTTTCTCTGTCTGCCTGCTCTTGAGACCAAGTAGCCAAACAAGCCATGCCCCCTCTTGCCAGGAGATCCAGTCTTAACTTGGTCTCCGCTCTTGCAAGACTTCTGTGACTTGGCTCTCAATCAATTGCAGGTTAGATAGGGAAATACATTGGTGGATTCTTGCCATTCGTTATTATTGGAAACTCTAAATTGTTTTCCTGATCAATTTCCCATCAGGGCTGGGATCAGCCCTGTTCCCTACCCTATCTTGGAGGTGGGGGTGCGTGTGTGGGGGGGGAAATTTCCCATAAGCAGGGGGGGGAATCCACAGCCAAGGGGGGGGAAATTCCCCAGTTTTGGCAGCAGGATTCCTCAAACCTTGTCTTCTTCCCTCCTGGTCGTTTTTGCATCCCTCGACTGACTAGGCCTCATTCTAACAGTGGCGGCCATTTTAGCTCCACATGGAGGCCTATTCAGGCCTAACAGGCCTAGCCATAGGTATCAGTACCACGTGAAACACTAGTAAATCTCATAGCGTGTGTGGGGGGGGGGAAATTTTCCCATATTATCCCCTTTGCCTTTCACTTCTTTCTTTCCCAGGGCCCTGGGTATGGGGGGGGGGTGAGAAGGCAATTGCAGAGACAAATTGCTGCGCCTTTTCTCCTGCACTCCCAGCTTTCCTTCCCCAGTTAGGGAAAGGATTACAGGCTCCTGCCTCGGATTCGGCCTGAATCCAATCTACGGAGGCTGTAAAAGCAGCCCAAAGCCCTAGCTGACGCCATTTTCTCAGCCGAATTTTCGGCTGTGGAATTCAGCTTCCCGGCTTCAGCAGCAACACAGGAAGCAGTTCTTCTTTCCCTCGTTACTGATTAATATCCATCAAGTGCACAGGCCTCATTGTTATAGCGGCGGCCATTTTAGGCCCCACGTGGAGGCCTGTTCAGGCCTAACAGGCCTGGTTATAGGCAGCTACACTGGTAAATAAGCCTTCATCACAGGTCTTTCCTATATCGGTTAGCCGCCAATTGAAATTAATTCCAATTGCTCAATTATTTTTGTATCTTGATTGAGGTTGCTTACAATTTTTTTTTCTTTCTTTTTTATTACTGGTGCACACTTTCTTTTTTATTACTGGTGCCACCTAAGGCCTCCGGGCGGAGCCCAGAGAGTGGTTCCAAACGTGCCTTCGGTACCTGCCTCTCTTACCGTGACCATAGTCCAGAGAGAGTTATTTTTTTTGGGTCGGGTGGTCAGGGGAACAGTCCTGGTATTTGCTCCAATCTCGCTGCCGCCAACTACTTACCCGCCTGAGCTTTACCTCAGTGCTTCCACTGAGTTTGCTCAAGTGGGATGGAGGGATCACCGTTGCCTCAAACCTTGGGCACGCCCTCTCCATCACCCAATTACGGCTGCACTAAACCTTCTGAACAGAAGGTGGCGGGCAAGTGCAAAGCCAAGACCAAACACACACTAAGGAAGACATCCAAGTTGGCGGACAAGCAAGCAAACCGTAGGCACCAGGCTCTGGAGAAGGAGTTCTCCAGAGCACAGAGGCAAGCTCAATTGGAAGGGGATCAAATAGCGGCCACCGAAATGGAACTTCCCTTGGGCCCATCAACATCACATCAAGGGGTGTGGTCATTCCCGGGAATGCCGGTAACACTGGGCTCGCCCTCTACATCGGCTCAACAAGCAACACCTGTCCCGGGTACCATCCCTGAGTCCACATTCACGCCCATGGCTGCGGGACTCAGGGGTCCTGACATCGGAGATATTTTCTCCAACGGACGCTTAGAGGCATTGTTGACCAAGGTTGTGGACAGAGCTTTGGCTCAACGTTCTGGCCACTCCAAGCAGGAGGCCTCTACCTCAACCATGCCACCCTACGAGCTCCCTACGGAACCCCAAGCACCTCAGGAGCCAGTTTCTCCCGGACAATCCTCCATGAGTGGATACTCATCCCCTCAGGAGGAGGAGTATCCGGAAATTACTCTCTCGGAGGATGAGGAAATTCCCCCGGAGCCTTCTACTTCAGGGAGTCTATTTAATGCGGACAAGTTCCTAACCATACTCGGCAAGGCCACCCTGACGGCAGACATGGGGACCGACCAGTTCCCTCAGCAGCAGGGAACAAGAGGTACCCCATCACGGCCGATTTTTGTTGAAAGGGTGGCCGCTGAACATCATGTCCCTTGTCCTGCCATGTTTCTGAAGGGAATCAAAAAGCAATGGGACACTCCATCTTCTCTCCCTTCAGTGAGTGGAATGAACAAAAAGCTGTTCACCACATCCACTGATCTCTCGGATGCTCTGGAAGTCCCCAAGGTGGATGAAGCCTGGACTCCCTTGGTTTCCCAGACCGCCATGGCGGGGGTCTTATTGGAAGCACTAAAGACTGATGACAAGAGGTGGGAGCAATCATTTCGTAAGAAACATCAATCTGCAGCATGGGCCGTCAAAGCGGTAACATGTGCTTCTTTTTTTGTCTGCTCCACTCTCTTATGGTTGCAACAACTTCAGGCCAGGGTCCCAATTGAGGACATGCGCACTCATCAGGACCTGGCTAAGATGGTAGCAGCCACAGAATATGTGGCAGACGCTTCACTCCAGTCAGCCATATTCTCCTCCAGGTCCATAGCGTCCAACATAATTTCTAGGAGGATGTTGTGGTTGAAGTATTGGCAGGCGGACCCCAAGGCCAAGTGGCGCCTAGCAACCGCTCTTTATCTAGGCAACAAGTTGTTTGGGGAGGCTCTCACACCTTATCTGGTTGAAGATAAGGATAAGCGTAAGGTAATGGGGCATCTAAACAAAAAAGCTGACAAATGGCCTGCGCCTTATTTTCGGAGACAGCCCTTTCGTCAGCAGGCGGCTACAGCCACAGTCAACCTGCCAGAACATATACTCCTAGGCAGGACAGGTCTTACGACCGTCCTTACGACAGGCAAGGGTTTCGGAGTAGATAGCAAAACCAGTCAAAATGGCCTTTTCGTGGGGCAGGCCACCCCTACGGAAAGACCAAATGACTTCTGCTCCAATCTCCCAATAGGAGGAAGGTTGGCCCACTTTTTCCACCAGTGGGAACAGACTTCCACGGACAACTGGGTCTTATAGACCGTACAGTTCGAGTTGTCCCTGGAATTCTGTGCAATGCCTCCAGACCGATTCACAGTCTGCTCAGTATCTCGGGATCCCAACAAACACAGACTCATTCAGGAGGCCATCCAGCATTTACTGGATATACAAGCCATAGAACAGGTTCCGACAAATTACAAGGGCAAGGGGTTTTACTCCATCCTCTTCGTGGTTCCCAAACCCTCAGGAGGTTGGAGGGCCATCCTGGACCTAAAAAATCTAAACAGGTATATAATATACAAAAAATTCAAAATGCAATCCCTCCAGTCCATCCTGGGAGGCATCAGGCAGGGCGACTTCCTAGCGTCAATAAACCTCACGGAAGCGTACCTTCACATTCCAATTCACCCGGCTCACCGTTGTTTCCTGTGTTTCTGTTACAGAGGCAACCACTTCCAGTACAGGGCCCTTCCTTTTGGCCTATCTTCAGCACCCAGGGTGTTTACGAAGATCCTGGCAGTGGTAGCGGCCAGACTGAGGAAAATCCCAATTTGAGTCCAATGCTACCTGGACGACATTTTAATCCAGGCAGCATCCTTACAGACAGCTCGGGCAAACGTGATGACCACCATTCACATTCTGCAACAACATGGGTTCTCAGTCAACTTCCAAAAGAGTCAGATAACTCCTTCATCCAGATTACTGCACCTGGGAGCCATCATAGACACAGCAAACTGCATGGTCTATCTCTCCCAGGAGCGTGTGGTCAGCATCAAGGAACTGGATCGTCAGATATACAGGCAACACACAGTTGCACTGGTCGTATTTTCTCAGTTACTGGGCAAGATAGTCTCCTGCATAGCCATAGTTCCCTGGGCCAGACTCCATCTGCGGGACCTTCAATGGTTCCTCCTTCCATACCAGCGTCAGAATACCAGCGCATCCAGCCGCTTGGTCAAGGTTCCAGTTCACGTTCGAATGACGCTTCGTTGGTGGTGTTCTCAGGCAGTGACCAAAGGGTCACTCTTCAAGGAACCGGAACGCGTCACCATCACAACAGATGCCAGCCTGTACGGCTGGGGAGCCCATCTACGCTCTCATTTCACACAGGGACGTTGGTCCACCGTGGATCTGAGAAACAGCATAAATTGGTTGGAGTTCAGGGCCATCCATTTAGCGTTAAAACACTTCAAACATATGATCAAAGGTCATCATGTTCTAGTCCTCACGGACAATGTGGCGGCCAAAGCACACATCAACCGGCAGGGGGGCACCAGGTCAAAATCCCTCATGGCCGAGGCACGGTTTCTGTTCACCTGGGCAGAGTCCACCCTGGAATCACTCAGGGCGGAGCATATTTCAGGGGTCAGCAACGAACAAATGCACAACTCCCCAGGTTCTATTCCCGTTATTTCCTTCCAGAGGCGGAGGGGACGGACGCCTTATGGACCCGGTGGTCACAAGGCTTACTTTACGCCTTTCCGCCACTACCACTCATTCCGGCGACCATCCGCAAACTAATTCACGAACAGGCGGAACTGATACTTGTGGCCCCTTACTGGCCACAGAGACTGTGGTTTGCCGACTTGATGAACCTGTCCCAGTCATCCCCATGGAGGATTCCTCCACATCGGGTGTCACTACATCAGGGGACCCTCAGTCATCCGGATCCCCAATGGTTGCAGCTGACCGCCTGGCGCTTGAGCGCAGAATAATGGCACAAGAATCATTTTCATCTCGAGCCATCACAGTGATTCAGGCTGCGCGCCGTCCTGCGACCAATCGCATCTATGATTCCACTTGGAAGAATTTTTGCCTTTGGTGTAGGAGGCGACAACTTGTCATCTCCAAATTAACCATCCCTCAAATAGTGGAATACCTGTTGGACGGACTGGACAGAGGCCTCGCCCCTGTGACTATTCGCAGACAAGTAGCGGCACTGTCCACTCTTCTTTCGTGTCAGAATTCTGTCCCCTTGGCTCACCATCCCAGGATTCGTGCCTTTATCAAAGGAGCGTGCAACACCAGACCTGTTGTTCACAGGTACCCAACTTGGGAGTTGCCGAGGGTTCTCCGTGCCCTCACTAAACCACCATTTGAGATTCTGGGAACCATTTCCTTCAGACACCTGTCCCTAAAGGTGGTGTTCCTGATAGCCATTACATCAGCCAGACGGATATCAGAAATGGCGGCCTTATCGGTCAGGAATGACCTCTGCATTTTCTATAGTGTCAGGGTTGTCCTACGTATAGATCCTTCGTTTGTCCCAAAGATAAATTCTCTTTTTCACAGATCATAGGAAATAATTTACCAAATTTTTGCCCAAATCCGAGTCATGACTTGGAGCGGCAGTGGCATACTCTGGATGTCCGCAGGGCCTTGAGGCGGTACTTCAAGTGCACGGAGCCATTCCGTAGATCAGAAGCCCTTTTTGTAGCATTCCGATCGGCTTCCTTGGGGCAAAAGGTTTCTGCGGGCACCATTGGCAGGTGGATCCGGCATTGTATAGCAGAAGCGTACCAGTCTGCTTCTCTGCCGACTCCAAGTCATCTTATGGCCCATTCCACTCGCAGTGCTGCAACCTCTGCGGCTTGGGCCACTCAGGCATCCATTGAGGAGATTTGCAGGGCTGCGACATGGTCCTTGCCATCTCCATTTGTACGCCACTACAAAATTGACCGTTTTGCTTCGGCGGACGCCTCCTTTGGTAGGAGGGTCCTCCAGCAAGTGGTCTCTGAGGACTCTATTCCGGCTTTATCTGTTCCCCGCGCATCAGGACAGTGAGGCTTTGGTATGTCCCATTGGTGGATTATCCATCTCCTGTACTGGAGAAGGGGCGTTGGTCTTACCTGAACGCCTTTTCTCAGTACGGAGATGAAGAATCCACACCCACCCTAGGGTCAGTTAGGCCGTTCTAGGGAATTGAGCGCCATCATCAAGTTCATCTTCAGCCGCTTCGCCCTCGTTAAGACTGGATCTCCTGGCGGGGGGGGCGTGGCTTGTTTGGCTACTTGGTCTCAAGAGCAGGCAGACAGAGAAAACCCATTGGTGGATTCTCCATCTCCGTACTGAGAAAAGGCGTTCAGGTAAGACCAACTCCATTTCTGGAAAATCACATATAGAAGCAGCATTCCTTTTAAATTTAATCTGAGAAATTAGATGTGTATATTTTAGTGTAGCTATTATAAAACCCAACGCCCTCCAGGTATTTTAACACATTTCAGGATCCTCAGTTAATATACCAGTATATCTGGAGGGAGTGCACTATTAAGATTGTTTTAAAAGAAGACTATAATGATTGTATTGCACATTTGGCTATGCAGTCAGTTTATTCTGTAATCCTGTCAATTGTGAAAGGGTGCAATTGCATTGCAGATTAATTTGGGTATTTTAAAAGAGAAATTGTGTTTAAAGAGCTAGTTTACAGGAAAACCAATTTCTGTTCACTTTTTAAACTGGAGGCTCAAGGTAATGTACATCTTAACTTTCAGATTCAGTGGGGTTCAGGATTATCTCTGTGCAATATTTTTTGCTTCTAGCCTTAAACTTTACAAGGGCAGCAGGCATAGCTTTTCGTTAGCTTATGACTATTTTTAAAAAGTTAGGAAGTTGTGATTTTTTTTTGTTTTGATACTTTTGAATTCCCTCCAATTGATAGAGATCGTCTCCCATCCTGTATCTTCCCTGGTGCATCTAGTGTACTTTGGGTTGCAATGTATATTCATGAAGGACATCCAATTTACAAATTTGAGGAATAAGTAAATTGAAATACACCTTGTTATTGGGAGTTGCAAAGTTGTGTCCAACCCATCGCGATCCCACGGACAACGTTGCTCCAGGCCTTCCTGTCCTCTACCATCTTCTGGAGTCCTTTTAAGCTCACGCCTACTGCTTCAGTGACTCCATCCAGCCACCTCATTCTCTGTCATCCCTTTCTTCTATTGCCCTCAATCTTTCCCAGCATTAGGCTCTTCTCCAGTGAGTCCTTCCTTCTCATTAGGTGGCCAAAGTACTTGAGTTTCAACTTTAGGATCTGGCCTTCTAAAGAGCAGTCAGGGTTGATCTCCTCGAAATACACCTATACCTATTTAAATATATTTCCTAAAAATAAATGTAACATTATATAAATAATAGGTAAACATTTAAATGTTATATACATATATATATATGTGCCAATTTTTTCAGATATTGGTTTAGGGAGTGATTCTGTGTGTGCAAGGCCATCATCTCACCGGATAAAGTCTTTTGATTCCTTGGGATCCCAGTCTTTACACAGTAGAACTTCAAAACTTTTTCAAGGCCAGTATAGAAGTCTGGTAAGTATTAACACATTTTAATAGCTTTTTATTTTTCTTAATCAGAGCTGCAAAGTGAAAAGCTTGTCTCAGATTGATAGCTGATTTGCATCTCACCTAAGGTGTCCAATATTTTTACATTGTTTTGCTTTTCTTGGTTTTTTGAGAAACAACAAGAAGCAGTATCTCCTTGCATTGAGATAGATTACAGTCAAGAGTCTAGTATATTAATTTATGCTGAAGTATTTTGAAATAAATGAGCTTCAGTGTATTTAACTGTGTTGGAATATAGCCAGGGAGTCTTAGAACCTCTTTACTGTAGACCATGACACTTTTAATTCCACCTTATTCATTATGAGCTACTGTTCATCAGCCTAAATCTGGTACTCCTCAATTTAATGTGTTAAGTCTTAAATATATCAATTTACTACTGGCATATTGGTTAGTTATTTTTCAGTTTCAGCTAAAAATAAAGTTACTACTATACAGATCAACAACAGTTCTGTACCCCAACGTGTACATATAAACTAGTTGATAAACACGAGCCAGCCAGAATGATGACAAAATGATAATATTGTTCAAATAACTATCTGTTTGATTTGCCTCAATTTAGAACTTAAAAAACAGTTCCAATGCAGTTAATGTTATCAAAACAGTAACTGATTAGGATTACATACAGTTGAAAGGTTGATTATATAATGATTAAAATATAGAATCATATATGCATGTAGGTTGAAGAAGCAAATATGTTAGCTTTACCTTACAATTCATTGTTAATTTTTTTATCTAAATATTTTGTTCTTTTGAAAAGTGTCTAAAATGTTTTTATTTTACTGGTCTCATCATTTTTAGGATATGACAGATAACAGCAACCACCAACTAGTGGTAAGAGCTAAATTTAATTTTCAACAGACAAATGAAGATGAACTTTCTTTTACAAAAGGAGATATTATCCATGTTACAAGAGTAGAAGAAGGAGGCTGGTGGGAAGGAACTCACAATGGCAAAACAGGATGGTTTCCCAGCAATTATGTGCGAGAAGTGAAATCCAGTGGTGAGTTTCAAGAGTCTGCCTTTCTCAATAACCTTAAATAAATTTGATAGCTATTCAGGTGTAAAATTTACTTTAATTACTTTATTTATTGGAATTTATTAGCTGCCCAATTCCAGTGGAGAAATGTATTAATATAATAATGCCAATACATTACAATATCCAAGATTCTTGGGAAGAACTGGATGCAAACAAAGGCCAACACCAGCTAAAGAGCTGGCAGCTGCGATTTCACAATGTTGTGTAAATAACAACAACCACATATGCCTATCCCATGTCTTTGGGAAGGACTTGATAGGTGGATAAAAATGCTAGATCCAGCCTAAATATCTGGTCAAGTGTGACAAATCATCAACATAATAAAATAAGCAAGAACTGGTGGGACCATAAAATATAGAAAGTAATAGAAAATGAAACTAAAGTGCTGTGGGACTTTAGAATTCAAACAAAGGCATTTGACACAGAACATCCTAGACTTATCAATTATTGATATGAAAGACAAAAAAGTCTGGATAGTGGATTTTGCAGTTCTTGGGGATAACAGAATAGAAGAGAAAGAACTGGATAAAATCACAAAATACAAACACCTTCAAATAGAAGTAGAATGTCTGTGACAAAAGAAAACAAAGGTAGTACAAATAGTAATAGATGCCTTGGTTCAATCCAGAATATCTGAAGCACCACTTGAACATCATCAGCATTGATAAAATCATCATTAATCAATTGCAGATGGCAGCTCTACTTAAAATAACTTACATTGTGCAAAAATACCCTTTACACTATCAGGCAACAACATCTGCCTATTCCAGTTCCTTGGAAGAATTTGATAAGTGGATAAAAATAAAATAAAAATCTGCTCTAAAACTGGCTGACCTCTTGGTCCTTCTGCCCCTCCAAATCTTCCAGATGGATTACAGCTGTTCGTGCTTTCCTAGTTCTAAAGACAGTAGTGTATTCTATCTGGAATGAGAGACATTTCTTTGACAAAAAAGTAATACATCTCTATATAATGAGACATAAAAGCTGGAAGAGTGACACTTGCAATAGTTTTTTTTTTTTAAATCTGGGGAGAAGATATAATGCATTTTGTATAAGCACTGATTTTTGCAAATATAAAGACTATTGCAAATCATTTAATTAATAGCAATTATTTTCATCTTTAAAGTGGAAGTTCTTTTGGTAGTGACTTTCACATATTTGTATTCCTTGTGTATTATTAAAACTTTTTTTATTAAAAGTTTTACAAATTACAATATAAACCCACCCATCACCTCCCCCCCTCCCACACTTCCCAGAGCTGATTACAGGGTAACAAATAAACAAACATACTCTAGCTAACATAAACCAACTAAACTGTCAATCAAAACCATAATACACTTTAACTCCTTCTCAAAACAAATATTAACAAATTAAGACAAAAATAATAATACCATTAATACTATTAATAATTATCTAAAATCTATTCAAAAGCAAGATAATACTTTTCAGTTTCATATTTCTTCTGAATATAATCAATCCATCTTCTCCAAACCATAATATATCTTTCTTGTGAATGATCCTTTAAATAGGCGGAGATTTTCGCCATTTCTGCTAAATTAGACACTTTAAGTATCCATTCTTCCAAAGTAGGCAATAAGTTTTTCTTCCAATATTGCCCCACGAATAATCTTGCAGCAGTTATGAAGTTCAACATCAAATTAGTTTCTTTAACATCCAAATGTTGTTTTTAATCACCAAATTCTTGTGTGTTTTGTCATGTAAAGTTTTTGAAATTGTGTTTTTGCTGAATTGACCTGATTATCTTTTTATGTCTTGACTAAATAAGGTAAATCAAGAAAAGGTTTTATGCCTATACACATGACTTAATTTCTCTTTCCTTTTTGCTACTTCAATTAACCATAGCTTGCTATTATATGTCAAGTGAGAAACCATTTTTTTCTGGATGGAATATATTGAGAAACATGTTCAATCAAAATTTCCTGGCATTTTTTTCTGCATCTTTCCCTTATTGGAAAAGGAAGGGTGAAATAGAGCTCATAGACAAAAAGGTTTTAATATACCTTAACTGGGCTCCAGCACAGTTCATGTGCTCAGTATATAACTTAAATCAGTCTGGATATTGTCTTAAGTGCATTGTTTCAGTATCAGGTTTTAAGATGTGAAAATATATTTTATTTCTGAAATAATCTTTGTTTCAGAAAAACCTGTCTCTCCCAAATCAGGAAGCTTGAAAAGTCCTCCGAAAGGGTTTGATACAACTGTTATTAGCAAAAGCTATTACAATGTGGTGAGTGACTTTATGTAAATCTTATTTGGTTTTTGTTTAGGTTTGTACATTGAAATCAGTGTATTTTTCTAAAGGATATAGATCTGCAGGACCTAGACATATGTAAAACAAAGTCAATGATACCTTAAAAACCAGCCATACCTACCTTGTGACCAGCCAAGATCCAGGAATTTCATCTCTTATCTATTTTTACAATCTAGAAGACTTGGTATCCATTTTCATCTTCTGTTTGTGAATTCTATAGGTCATGTGTTTAAGGATCTACCTTAAAAATTATATAGCTTATTTTTTTTAATGTTATAAGCCACCTGGGATTACCTATCTATGAGTTGCATCACCATCATCATCATAATAATGTTGGAAGGGACCTTAGAGGCCATCTAGTCCAACCCCCTGCTCAGGCAGGAAAGCCTATACCATTTCAAATAAATGGCTGTCCAGTCTCTTCTTAAAAACTTCCAGTGTTGGAGCATTCACAGCTTCTGGAGGCAGATTGTTCCATTGATTAATTGTTCTAACTGTCAGGAAATTTCTCCTTAGTTCTAGGTTGCTTCTCTCCTTGATTAGTTTCCATCTGTTGCTTCTTATCCTGCCCTCAGGTGCTTTGGAAAATAGTTTGACTCCCTTTTCTTTTTGGCAGCCCCTGAGATATTGGAACACTGCTATCATGTCATCCCATGTCCTTCTCTTCATTAAACTAGACATACCGAATTCCAGCAACCGTTCCTTATATGTTTTAGCGTGATGGATATATAGAGCTAACTAAACAATTTAAACTCAACAATTCCCCCCCCCCAAAAAAATTGTCCAACAATTACTGTCTCCTCTTTTGAGTAAAACTTTGTAATCTGAAACTGTAAGGATGGGCATTAAATTTCATCTCCATTCGCAAACCGGAATTCTAAGCAGAGAGGAAAAAAAGTTTAAAATGAACAGCCCCCCCCTCTTCTTTCTGTTTCTCTTGCTCTTAAAGCAACACAGCCAGTTGAAAAACAAAAGAGACAGAAAATTTTTTTGTTACAAACTTCTCACCACTAAAAAAATAGTTTTCTCTCTTTCACATGCATTTTCCATAAATTCTCTCACACATTCTCCATGGGACTCTTCTCATGCAAACACTTACTATTACTTTTCAATTTACTTTTACAACAATAAAATCTGCAGTTTACTATTTCTTTCACAGCCTGGGAGGGAGTGGGTGGAGGATGGGGTTTGAGGGCTAGCACACACACTTAGGTATCAACAAATTAATTCATTCACTTTCATTCTAACTGCTTGCATAAACAATTCCACATACAAATATTTCATTTCATACTTTCTCCAGGCAAACCATTTATTTTTAAATAAGGCCTTTTTGTGTGATGTTATCAGAGAGGGTTTTGACCTTCTTCCAAGTCTTGGAAATAACACAGAACAACACAGACAAACATGTATACAAATACTATTAAAACAGCATTTATTTAGACATATGGCTTGTCCTGCAAGAAGCGAGAAAAATCATGAGATGATTCCAACCAAACATGGTTTTTATAGGGCCCTTTAACCATCTCCTATTTTTCTCACCATTCCAAGCCCAAGCATAATGTTCTGGGTGGCCACACATATACACACATATACATAAACAAAACACACACACATCAATTTGGGGTTTGAGGCTAAAACAGGCCTCCTCTTTTAATTAAAAAGGAGGGGAACATTTATGGTTACTTCCAATTTATCCCAGCAACTTCAAAAGACATTGGGGAAAGACTAAAAGAAATATTGAAGGTGTGAAGGGTGAGGGGAAAGTAGCAGCCTCCTCTCCTCACCTCTGACAAAGGGGGATTGAATAGAGCCAGATTAAAAGGGGAAAAAAAAGGAAGAAAAAAAAACTTGCTTTCAGTTCTTTGAATTTTCTTTTCTTTTTCTTCCGTGGCTTTAGTTGTTATCAGATAAACTAGCCAACCGGAGGTTTACAAAGTTTTTCAATGTTGTCTTGTTAAAGATTATTTATACTTTTACACATCAACACAAAGCACCAGCAGACATTGTCTGACAGGGTTAAACTTAACAGCTACTTGAAGTTTCAAAACATCCCAATTGTTCAAAACACATTGCAGAGGAGTACATTTTGATTTAATTTGTTTCTTTAAATTCATCTGACGATTCCCCATATATATTTTTTCTACTTCAAGATTGTTCCTCTAATATTTTCCTTATGGGGGTGTATGGTGGTCGTAAGGAGGCAAAAGAATTAGCCTCTTTAGAAGGAGCTCAAAATTCAATTAAAGATGCTTTCGGAGTTATAGTTTTTTCTTGATCCTAATCAGGTGTGGAGCTTGTAGTTAATTGTTGCCCTGCTGAAGCATCTGAGCCAAATTTTTCCACTGCTTGATGGCACTGATGCCATTGATGTAATACCTGTACTGGAGCCCGAGATTCAAGATGTAAAGTATGCCCTATCTTTTCCCAATCTCGTAACCTAAGTGTCCAGCACTTAGGATATCAAGGGGAATGTTTCCCTACCTCATCCACCAGCTTCCTTATGTCTGCCTCAGGCGCTTTCACACCTGATTTGTGTAACAGGAATCTGAGTTCCTGTACATGTTTCTGCTGGTGCTGAGATAGATTGCAACCCTTACTTACCACTGAGGGGTCCCATAGGACGAAAGTGCACTTAGAGGTCTATTCCAGACGCTGGTAAGTATGTTGGCTGTTGCTCACTCGGAAGGGGGGGCTGTCCCAGTTGCTCCATGGGGGGCTGTCCCTGTTCAGGCGCCAGATGTAAGACGCTAAGAAAAAGACGCAGGCATGTCTTGAGCAGAGGTTTGAAGCAGCAGGACACAGCTTGACAAACTCTGAGTTTATTGCTTCTTATATACTTGTTACATACACCAGCTTAACCATTAGATCAGTGGATCTCAACCTTTCTAATGCCGCGACCCCTTAATACAGTTCCTCATGTTGTGGTGACCCCCAACCATAAAATTATTTTTGTTGCTATTTCATAACTGTAATTTTGCTATTGTTATGAATCGTAATGTAAATATTTGATATGCAGGATGTATTTTCATTGTTATGAATTGAACATAATTAAAGCATAGTGATTAATTACAAAAACAATATAGGAAGGAGAAAGGAAAGGAAAGGAAAGGAAGGAGATGGAGAAGGAAGGAGATTGAAGGGGAAAGAAGGGAGGAGAGATTGAAGGGGAAGGGGTGGAAGGAGAGTGATTGAAGGGGAAGGGATGGAGATGGAAGGAAGGAAGGAAGATTGAAGGGGAAAGGAAGGAGATGGAGGAGGAAGGAGATTGAAGGGGAAGGGATGGAGATGGAAGGAAGGAAGGAAGATGGAAGGGGAAAGGAAGGAGATGGAGAAGGAAGGAGGTTGAAGGGGGGAGGCGTTGCCAAGGATGCACAAGCAGCTCCTCACCATTGCCTAGGGAGGGGAGGAGGCTCTGGCAGAGAGCCTGGTGGAGAGCCAATCTTAGTGACTGTTCAAAGTTACAACGGCACTGAAAAAGTGACTTATGACCATTTTTCACACTTATGACCATTGCAGCATCCCCAGGGTTATGTGATTTACATTTCGATGCTTGGCAACTGATTCATATTTATGATCACATTGTTCCAGGGTCACGTGATCCCCTTTTGCAACCTTCTCACAAGCAACGTTAATGGGGGAAACCAGATTCACTTAACAACCATGTTACTAATTTAATCTCTCTCTCCTTCTTTCTTTCTCTCTCCCTCTCTCTGTCTCCCTCTTTCTCTCACCCTCTCTCCCCCTATTTCTCTCTCCCTCTCCCTTTCTTTCTCTCTCCCTTTCTTTCTCTCTCCCTTTCTCTCTCCCTCCCTCTTCCTTTCTTTCTCTCCCTTTCTCTCTCCCTGTCTCCCTTTTTCTCTCTCTCCCTCTCTCTCCCCCCTCTATTTCTCTCTCTCCCTCTCTCTCTCCCTCTCTCTCCCTCTTTCTCTCCCTCTGTCTCCCTTTCTTTCTCTCTCTCTCCCTCTCCCTTTCTCTTCTGTCTCCCTTTCTTTCTCCCTTTCTCCCTCTTTCTCCTTCTCTCTCTGTCACTCTTTCTCTCTCTCCCTCTATATTTCTCTTTCCCTCTTTCTCTCCCTCTCTCTATTTCTCTCTCCCTCTCTTCTGCTCAAAGATCCTTTAAATCCTTAAAAGTTATGCTTGGGTGGAAGACTTTTCCTTTTACAGATGGGGTGGGTTGGCAAACAAGTAGTCAAAAAAAAAAAAAAAAAAGGAAAAGAAGTGCGAATAGGTATTCAGTAGCTAGCTTGAAGTTTGAACGACTTCTTTCTCTTGCCACCGCCTTCTAGGAGGAGCAAAAGACATCTAGCACTGCAACCAGATGCCTTGGACTGGCCATTCCAGGGCTTCCTGCACCGGCTGACAGTTGTCTGCAACTTCCTGTTGACGCTTGAGGGGGGGAAAGGGACATCCAAGGAGGGAAGTTATGTTGGACTGTTGACTCTGTGTTGAGCCCCGTGGGCCCTACATTCGCAGGCAGGCGGGAACCCGCCTGCCAAGCCGTCATCTCCCCATCGCCCTCCATGTTGGCCGGCTCCGTCGCCAAACCTCCCAACTGACAAACTCACATTCAGGGGGTAGCCAGCTGATGGGCGCAGAAGATCGGTGCTGCAGCCTCCCAGCCACCCGCTTCTTTGGCTGGAGCAATTGCCAGGGCTTGCATGGTCGCCGGTGGTGGGGAGCGTGTCAGTGGCCATTGGGGACGCCAGCGGTTCGGTGGCAGGGAGGCTTAAGGTGCAGGACGCGGAGTGGCGTGGTGCGGTGCCGTGGGAGGTGGCAGGACAGGGGGGAGGGGTTACCTGTATCCTGCTGGCTGAACTCTGGAAGCCTGCCTGAATGAAGAATTTTAGGGGGAGTTTAAAGTGAGACAGGTTTCTAAGAGTATGATGTGTGAGGCATGGCGGGCATTGGTGGCGGGCTGCCCCCCCAGAGCTGGAGCGGCTGGTGCAGCCACCCCTGCCTCCATACCCCAGCCTGCA